ATGTATAGATTGTTTGAAAAGAAGCTGTAAATAAGAAAACTATTACATCTTTGTTCGAAGAACTTCTTAACCTTGAGGTAATTCTTATAAGTCTTAAATAATGAAACTAATTAATCGTTGGTGAAATACGTAAAACTACGTGGAATATATATATACGGACGGATAAAGTTTTGTTTAACAAAACGACGTTTCGCTTCGCGCCATCCTAATACATATATTTTGTTAACCAAAAAAGAAACTAAAAAATCGGTTACGCATTTCAATTACGAACAGAAGCGTACAGTGTAAATCATTGGAGAAGTGACTGCTCGTACATCTAGAAATCCCTATCATTATTCAGAGGTACAAATATAACATGCGATTAGTAAACGTAGCTATAACAGATATGTCTAACACGCATAAACCGGGCATACGTACGTTATGTGCACGGGCAGGCCAAAACATGCATAGAAACCTGCACGGAGAACACGGTTATATGCTTATGACAGACAATTAGATGCTATATAACGACGTGGGCAATATCGATTTGCATATCTACGCGAACACGTGCGTTTACCAATAGTGGAAACAAAGTATGCTCGCGGCTCTCCCGGAATACAGATGAAGCATAGAAGCGCAAGAAAAACGACGATTCATCTCGAAGATAAGTTAATAGACAAATTAATTTTCAGCTGAGGTAAAACGAACATTGTGCCCTCGCGCCATATAATACAGAAGGGGAAATTAATAGCCCATGGGGATGTTTGAACACGTGATCGTGAAAACCTTTTACTTAATTGATTTTCCATTTTCTATGCATTTTTCAATTTCGTTATCTAGGTACGCGATTAGTCGTAACTTTCAGTTTTAATAAGACTGCAATTACACAAATTTGACCAGATTTCGAAATATGGCGGCGTAACACACACGATCCGATTATCTCACCAATCGCAAAGTCAAAAATTTTCTGTCCTTTCGTTTTCACGCCCGTCGAATTAACGCGATGCTACATGCGAACGATAAACAGAAACAATATTTAGCAATTCGCGGCCATTACAATGTACCTTGATATCGATTTAAAGTGATCGGCGACGTTTATTTTTCCATGGCTTAGGCATCGATTTCGTAGTTTTCGCATCGGAAAGCGTGAGCTTGGTATCAACAGTATGAACGTTGCGAGGTTAGTGGAACGGCGACGCGACGGTATAAATCGGGCGCTCGTTAAAACGTGACTTACGGCACTTTCACGACCGGCCGAAGTTACCAGCATGCTTGCAGCATTCTCACTATGTCCCCACTTCTTTTGATTCACACTTTATCCAGTAGATTCTCGTTCTCTCTGTTGATAGCTTCTCATAGTGGTAACAAAGTCGCGAACATTGTACAAGTGCTCGCATCGTATGCGAATTTTACTTCTTCGCGTTGTTTATCAGAATGTTGAGACATTATTTTAACACAGTTTACAGTAATCTGACAATGTATATCTCTCATATATTCTCAGTTATTAGTCGTTACTGAAAGAAAATGCACATAATATGTAGGTGCATTTTTATAATGTTTACCGCTTACACAAGCTATAAATAAAATATATAAGTTATAGTGGATTAAAAATAATATAAAGTCGATCGTGCAATGTAATACCTATAACATAATATACCTAATATAAAATCGATTAAAGCGAGAATAAGAATCTACTAATATTTAAATACTCTCTGCGTGAGAGATGAAAATAAACTCCAATAGTCAAACCAAATCTTCTTACCCATTTTGTTCCTGCCACGAATATAACTCGATAATACAATAATTAGATTAAATTAAGTCTCTAAATAGCTAATGCATCATCTACGTAGTGGAAGTTTTATTTATGGTTTTTATCTGGAATTCTTAACGAATGAGCTTTTGATGAGCTTCTTCCTCTGCTTCTTCGAAACAAGAGGTAAACTTAAAAGTCCGCGTTTTAATAATGATTGTTCTTTTACCTGAAAATGGTTACATCACAGACAAGGATTTATCGGGCAATCTTGGACGGTTGATAGTCGCATCTCTAAACGAACCAGCGCAATATTCCATTATGTAAGACAACGATAGAACTCTCGATGGTCGAGAGCCCGATGATCCCAGGTTACACTATTAATAGACTGACCTTCCTTTGCGCTCTTTAAGTAGGTGTGTTAGTAAGATAGCGTGCACTGTGTCCGCGATGAGACCCGTTTCCTTTTCAGAGAGGAAACAGTTGAGCAACGCAGAAGGGCTGAGTTAACAGCTGGGATAAACGAAATCGTAGACATAAAAAACGAATCGAGGCCTAGCCAGAAACAAAGTTTTGTTGACTTCAAAAATTATTTGGTAATTTTGTAATTTCACAGCCTTGCTAGAATCTAACAAGTTTGGAAGTAAAATAGGATCTCTCGTAGTCAGACTTTCAAGTTTTCGATCAATTAATTTTTCTAACTGCAATTTTAATAGATATAGAATAACTTTAATATATTTTATATACCTATAATTATAATTAAGATTATAATCTTATCGTCATCTGTTTCTCGCTAGAATATTAAACCTCGGGAGTAAAATAGGATCGTTCGTAGTCAGACTTCCAAGTCTCCTTACGGTAAGCTACAGATTGCCGATTAATTTTTTTTACTTTTCCAATACTGCTCTATTATCTTCGTTATTTCTTAATATTTGATATACCTAGAAACTTTATTTACGAAAGTTATGTAATACAGGAAAGACTATAATATAGAAATGATCATTTCTTTCGAATCATGTTATAGCACTACAATTCTAATCATTCGAGTACAATACATAGCAATTCTAGTATTTAAAGAATACTCACATATGTACGAGTACAATCCATATTATCCAAATAGTCCTAAATATCCACCGACATTTCTGTAATCCTACAGAACTGATTAACACTGATCGAACATTAACTTTGATCGCAACGATGATTCGATGGATTCCGATTACGCAAGTGAACGAATGGAACGTGTCGTTCTCAAGATTTTCTGGTAGAGAACGTAAGCTGTTGAGATTGTATCGAACGATTGCACGCAGCTGTTGATGCAATTTTCGAAAGCACACGAAAGTTTTCTTTGGCGATGCGAACGTTAGCACCATCCCTCTCTCGGGTGGATTCACCTATGCGTGCATACCGAACTAATGTTGGCCCCTTGCTCAGTTGAATAAATTACACAATTTCCCTTCTTGTTGCAACTCCTCCTATCGCCTGTCTGCTCGTCATCCCTTCTCCAGTTCTTCCTGCGTTTCCTCCTTCACGAGCATTGTGTTTCGCTTTCTGAAGGGATCCATCGGGGCAAATAGAAACGACAGACGTGCCCGGCTCGTTTGCGCGGCCACCCGAACGAACTTTCCTCGCATATTCGTTCAAATACGCGTAACATCAAACACGCGATTGCGACTTGGTTGAAGCGGAACGTCGTTCTGAAACATATCGGTTGATAACTTTGGTCGATAACCTTGAGTATTATCGTATTATAATAATTAATTGATAATCGGCTATTCGACGACTCCAATCTTCTTACATGAAATATGTTATTTAGCATTCTTTTGCTTTTACAAATACAGATAAATAGTTCGTCATCTATTGAATATTAAAAAGAAAAAATATCTCGGAACTTTCGTGCGGTAATGTATAATGTAAAATTTCTGTGGCAAGCGTTCAAATATTTTCGCGAGCTACTCTATCCATCATTGAATATCCAGAGTAATTAGTCCAACGAAATAATCTCACGTAAGAATATCCCAGCACGATGATATCGTAATTTTCAAAAAACCAACGCGACAAAGGGCTTGTTGCCCCCAAAGAACAAACAATCCTTGTCTCTCCTTACCGTCGAAAGGAAAAACAAAGTTCCACTAAAAGAACCGCGGAAGCATATCGCGTGTGATGTGGACAACGTGGGGGAACTTGTCGACGTTAATCTACGATGGCCGTGACGTTCCTCCTCTTTGTCATCGACGCGTCGTCCCGGTGCAAACGATATCCGCTTAAGAATCGAGTTACGAGACCGCAAGTAGCGAGACGAGTACCACTTCTGAAACAAAGTACCTAGGGAACCCTTCTGCGTCTCTCGCTCTCCTCCTTTTTCGCCTTGCTCTTTCTCCCGACGACGACGACGAC